CTAGTCTCTGTTTGTATATTGACAATTTTCTGAAAATGCCTCCATCCCAGTGTCCTTTTGTCCATAATTTTCACACTCAGGCACATGCATCTTATGGGTAAATATGAGTGGGTAGCAGAACACCAGCAAGAAGTCCTTGAGCTTCTTGTCATTCTTGTGCTGCTGTGTTCTTTTCAGGTAATAATGTTGAGACAATGGCGTTCAAGGAGATGACACAAAACATCTGGGGTGTTTATACAATAGGTGTGAGCAGAGGATTGTCTGAAAGACTCTGTGTTTTCTGCATGGGTTTTGCAGACTTCTCGACCATGGTCAATCAGAGGACTTTTGTAGACCATTGTGGTGACACGTCAGCTCCAGGTTTATTAGGAGTTACAAATGTAGTGCGTGTGCTGGGCACGTGCGAGCTAAAAGCCTTCCAGAGAGGGCTGCACAGGGTGGGTTACAGCATAACCGTCCAGAAGGTTTTGCCAGTACAGTCAAACAGCCTCTGGGTTCCCTTGACATCAGAGCAAAGTAACAGTCTCACCAAGGAGGAACATGTCTTCTTTTCCCAAAACATGATCTGGTCCAGCCACAATTCTCACATCAAAGCAGGAATCTGGAGTTGAATGTCCTGTGTTACACGGGAGTTCAGATCAATGCTCTAGGTCATTGCAGATTGGTTCCCTGTTGTCTTTTTCCTATAAATTCTCATCCACTGTTGTTTTAAATGTCACATTGTAAACGGGCTTCTGCCATTTCTCTTGGAGAGTTTATTCTGGAGAAAAGCCCTGACTCTGAGCAAATAGTTAATGTTAGTTAGTTGCATTTGATTAATTTAAAGTATCAATAATTCCGTGGTTTTGAAGTTACACATTAACCTAAGTTCCTGCTGCCCTATAGCTCTGAATCTTTTTTTCTATACAACATTCACCAGGGAGACAGAACCAAGAACTTGGAAGTCACTTGCCTAAGTAGCTGTAGTACATTGATAGTTTCCAGGAGAATAGATTCTCTTCTTCTTTTAGGGTTGGACATCATCACTATCAAATAAAAATAAAATTAAGTTGTCAGAGAACAGTTCAGCAGTGCCTGGACAGGCAGAGATCCCAAAATGTCCCTGATGTATACCACAGATTGTACATCCAGAGATCTCTACAACACTGTTTCTGGCTTGGCTCTCGGAAGCTCTGCTCTTAAATGTGGATATCATTCAGCCCAGCTGTGGTTTTCCTCCTTTGCTGGAGCTGATGTTTCTCCCACACACGCTGGCACACTTGCACCCTCCAAAGCCCCTCCTCCTAACAAGGGTCTCCACCTCAGGAATCCAGAGTGCCTTTCTGCAGGCAGTGGCCATCCCATTGTAGATGACACTGGAAAAGTGAGGCTCTTGAGCCATGAGTTTCAATCAAGGTGCAATATTGCAGTGACTTTAGAGAAGCCCTTGTTTTAATGCCCATATATCGCTCTGAGAAAGAAATTCTTCTCTCCTCGTGGAAAACATGGGTGGGGTGCTCATGGTAAATGCTGGTACCACTGGTGTGCCCGCTTGCCCCCTGCAGGGGTTGGCATTGCTCCACAGCTCCATCTGCTGTGACATTCTCTAGCTGTCCATGTTTGCACAGACAGATACCGGCTGGTCCTGGGACTGCTTCCAAGCCCACTGGTACATTAACTGCATTGAAATCTCCCTGGAAATGCCAAATGCGTAGGGATGGGGTTTTCCTACAAAGACAGAATTTCTTATTTCCTTTCTGCTTAAGTAGTAAAGTTCATGAAGGCTCACCCTCAATACTATATTTTCTATCAGCACATATTGTTTCGAACATTAATTTCCAAGCCAGCCAAAGGCAGTTCCCCGAGTGAAAGGTTCCTGAGCTAACTGCAGGTGAGCTGGGACAGCTGTACCCTGCTTCTGCACGAGAATACCCGTCCTGAGCTAAAACCACTGGCATGTTGTTGTGGCAATCTGCCCAGAAGACTTACCCCTGCCCCTAAAGAGAGCTCATTAGCTGAGGGTGAGCATCCCTGCAGAGCGGGTATTCTGCTTGCGAGGCTGGGCACCACTGTCTCCTTCATTTACGTCTGACCCACTCTGAATCTCCAGAATTCAGGAGCTGATACTTTTCTCATTTCTATCACCTAGTCTTTTATCTGTTCAGTCCAAGTCCCAGAATGAAGTGCCCCCGAGTGAGAAGTGATTGTTTTCCAAGGGTAATGTTACTTTTTTCTTTTACTTGAAGTTATCAAGGTGATAGTCACAGTATCACAGCTTCAATGTAAGAAATAGTCTATTTTGGTTTGGCTTGCAGCTCTGCCGCCTGCCTGCTCTCGAGATGACACTTCTGTAAAATGGATGAGAAATATTTATAGTCTTATGTGGAAATCTTTTTTGTAGTTCATACTTAGAAGCTTATTTTTTAAAATCCTCTAATTAACAGAAAGGATGCACACATAGGGTTAGATTTCCTGCCAGACGCTATCTCTATCCCTCACTATCTTTGAACAAATAATATGTAAATAAAGCTGAATTTTCTTCACATTACCTTCCATAAATGGGTTTAAACCGACACACAAATCCCATAATTCACCTCTTTGGTTCTAGTAGTTTTAGGACAAATCCAGTAGATTTAACTTTAAGCCTCCAAATATCTGTGCTGACAATCAAGGCGAGGCCCTGGTTATCGGCTCCGTTACATTCCCTGAGGCCTGTAGTTGCTATGGTTTCAAGGATTTCACAGAAATCAAAACACTTTAATAGGTGTCAGTACAAGTAATTATCTTTGATAAATGATTTCTCTCATCTCCGAGCGTCCTCACAGAGAGTGTCTCGTACATGTGCTGACTGAACAAGAATTCTCCTGCATTTACTCTTTTCTCCCTAGCTCCAGAAACCATCTAGGGCAAAGATGAAGACTTGCTATTGCAGTAAAAGTCTATCCTATTCCTCTAGCATGGATGCCGCATTTTCCTGGGATTTCGGGCTGTCTGCAGTTCGGTTAGAAGGAGGGAAGAGGAGCCCCTGGCTGCTGCCATGCCCCTGCGCCCACCCGGGCATTCCCCTGGGGCTGGGGCAGGGGCAGGGGCAGGGGCAGCTCGGGTCCTGTCCTGCCCTGGCTCAGTGCCTGTGCCCTCACATGGGTTCGCCAGCCGTGCCCTCGGTGAGACCTGCTGCTAAGCCACCGCTCCGGGCACAGGCCTGAGCAGCTCTCCTCAGGGCAGGGCCATCGCCCCAAACCCTTCCTACCCGTCATCGCTGCAGCCACCAGCCTCCAGGGGTGCTAGTTCAGAATCACAGACTTCTTCTCGTTGGAAGAGACCTTTAAGATCCCCAGCACTGCCAGGTCCCCACTGCCCCGTGTCCCTCACCCCACATCTCCAGGGCTTGGGAACCCCTCCAGGGGTGGGGACTCCACCACTGCCCTGGGCAGCCTGGCACAGCCCTGGGCAACCCTCCAGGGCAAGAAATTGTTCCTCAGGGCCAACCTCAACCTCCCCTGGGGCAACTTGAGGCCATTTCCTCTTGTCCTGTCCCTTGTCCCTTGGGAGCAGAGCCCGACCCCCCCCTGGCTCCAGGCTCCTGTCAGGAGCTGTGCAGAGCCAGAAGGTCTCCCCTGAGCCTCCTTTGCTCCAGGCTCAGCACCCCAAGTTCCCTCAGCTGCTTCCCACCAGACCTGGGCTCTAGACCCTTCTCCAGCTTCATTGCTCTTCTCAGGACACGTGCAGCATATCCTGAGCCCCTCAATGTCCTTCTTGGAGTGAGGGGCCCAAAACTGAACCCAGGATTCAAGGTGTGGCCTCACCAGCTTAAAGTCCAAAGGGGCAATCCCTGCCCTGTTCCCACTGCCCACACCAGTGCTGATCCAGGCCAGGGTGCTGGTGGCCTCGTTGGCCACCTGGGCCCACTGGTGGCTCATCTTCAGCTGGCTGTTGACCAATTTAATCACCCAGTTTGCCAAGGGAGCTTTGGAAGGAGATGCCACCAAGAGGTTCCACTATCCCAGCCAAACTGTACCATAATTTTTGCAAGTGTGATTTTTACAGATAAAAGCAAAATGTGGTTCTTTTGATGTCCAATGACAAACATTGCTTTATGCTTGTGATTGTGCCCATTGAGCAATGTTGAGGAGCCTGCATTTCACAGACAAGAAGATGAAACAGTAAAAAAATCACTAAATGCTCACGACATATTAGGCAGATGGAAATCTGGCACTTTACCTGAGCCCCAGTTAGGTGCAGAACAACTTGGCGTTGTGAAAAGGGACACCAGAACTGGGACAGGGTTGGAGGCCAGGACTGAAATCTTATCTCTGGCCACTGACAAACCTTCACTGGGGCGAGCAGGGGGAAACTTTCATCCTAGACACTGAGATGAGCTACAGGATGAATAATGTGTCTTCTTTCCATAAACAAATGGAGTTATTTTAAGAAATAAAGACCCTTTGTTTTGTGAAGGTAGTATTTGAATTATTAGGTGTGTTTATTAAATTGGGTAGGACTTACCATTGTGTCATCATTTTTATCTCTGATTAATGGATTTCTTATGGCTTCTAGTGATCCGTTTGATATGGACTTTTCACTTCTGCTCCTTCCCTTCTTTACATCAGCATAAATTAGGAATTACTGCTATCAATTTACACTTATGTAAGCCTTGAAAGAGAAAAAACTCAGTCCATGTAATTTTATTTAAAGGCTATTACTGTGTTTCTATTCAGATATCACCTTTTCCATTTCAGCACTCAGTGCACATATCGAACAAAGCTGTTACGTTTGATCTATAGCTAATTGCAGAAATTGTTTTGCTCTAGTATTGATTAGAAACTGACATTCTCATTTATGAAGCTGTTGGGTTTGCCTTCTTAATGTGGACTTTCTAACAATAAATATGAGATGGAGCTAAAGGGGGTTTATCTGTAGACATTTTCTACTTAAGCAGGTGATTTGAACTCCTCAAGAGTTTAGCTATGAACCACCTTTAAGACACTATTAAATAATTACCTATCATTTTTTTTCCACAGCCACAATATTCTCCTATATGAGGATGGTCATGCAGTTGTTGCTGATTTTGGAGGTAAGGAGTTTTTATGAAATGTTTGTAAATTAACCTCAATTTCTTTAAGACTAAATGTGCTGACTAAGAAAATGCTGAGGAGATTGCTCTTCATTTTGTCATTTTGAAAGGACACAAAGGGATTTTAGGAATGGGAATACCCCTATATTTTTGTCTCACCCAAGTCAGCAGGTGCTGTGGAGTATCCCATGGTTTATCTGAGAGGAAGCCCAGATGACAGTGAGATGGATGCATGTCAGTTTGAGTAAATTCTAGCCGTAGGTTGGGGAAGAAATTGATGGAAAATGCTATAGTAGATGTGCCTTCCTCCCATGGCAAGTGCCCAGGAGCTGAGGGTGGTGTCATTGTGCAGGTCTGCCTGCTGGCAGCCAAGCCCCATGACAGCAGGACAGGTTTCCTGCATTGTAGTTAAAAGAGCAGGGTGCAGCTTGGCATTTCAGTTACGGACCTTAGGAACTGTGTGTTCAAAATTAGACTAATCCATACTTTATGGATCTGTATTTCATGCATTGTCTTGATGCTTAGCAGCCAAGCTCCATGGGAATGCCTTCTGGTTGGTGCAAGGGTGGACTTCTAACACCTCAGAGCTGTTTTTAATAAAAAACACTTTCTACAGAGAATTTGGTATAATAAGGTGGCTCTCTCTGTTGGCTTGGCAGTAATTTTATTTTGTTGTTCTGTGTGTTTCAGAATCTAGATTTTTGCAATCCCTGGATGAAGACAACATGACAAAACAGCCTGGGGTTTGTTTCTTGTTTTGTTCCATATAATTAATATAAAACATACAGGCAAACTCAGCTTGGGAGAAAATTATATCAGAAATACTTTTGTTGGAAAAGATGAAGTGGTACAGTAAATTATCTCTCAATATTTCTCTGCAGGTTTTTGGGGGGGTTGTTTGTTTTTTCCCTTTAAGCCTCTTTAATAGCAAAGATGAGTGTATATATAATATCTGATTAAAATAATGTTTTATAAGGATGTCTTTGGAGCTCTGTTGCCCCCAAAATTCTTAGTAAAGTGTCATTATTTTAATCCACCCTTCCCCACTCACATAAACGTCTTACTGGCAGGTGATTCCTATTTCTAACAGGGAATTAGTTCAACACTGGTTTTCTTTCAGGATTCTTTTCCCAGTTACAAGCAAACTGCTCACAGAGCCAGCTTTACAAGACAGCATTGTTGTCTTCCTGAATTTGGATCCAGATGCATTGTGTGTGTCACTCCATGGTCAGGAAAGTTTGCATCATCATGATGACTAACTGTGGAGCAGGATGGGTGATGTTAAAACCAGGGTCTGGCAATTGTCCTTTTAAGGAATTGTAGCAGGGGCTCTCTGTGTGAGAGTGAAGTGCCCAGATCCTGCCGGGCTGTGGTGATGTCTCCCTGAGAAGAGCTGTCTTCTAAAGGTGGTAGATTAGGTAACTGAGGTGCAAGGAATCTGCAAAACCACCCTGAGCTCAGAGGCTGTGGCTTGTGAAGCAGCTTCTGCAGAAGGTGGTGGGATCCTGAGGGAAGCACCAATCCCATGCAGCTCTCATCAGCCTTCCCATCTGCAGCTGCAGTGGTGTTAACTGGGAGCCTGTGGCATGCCGGGACTCTATGCTGTGGTCTCCAGACCTTGAGGCTGGGTGTTCTGACTTTATTCTAGCACTGTCCCCTGTTTCAGTCCTGCAGTCTGGTGCTGTGGGGCTGGGACAGCTACCAGACTAATGCTGTCAGATATCATCTCCTGTCATGTGCTGCCTAGACTTTGCAAACTACCTAAAAAATTTTCCTGGTGAATTTACCGGTGATTTTCTGGACCAATGGAGGTGAGGAGGAAAGAAAAGAAAGGAAAACAATTACACAAATGCAGGAAAAGATGCATATATGAGGAAGTGAATGCTGTTAACATATTATTGGTGTTTCCTGCTGCACAGAACCTACGCTGGATGGCCCCCGAGGTGTTCACCCAGTGTACACGGTACACCATAAAAGCTGATGTTTTCAGCTATGCTTTGTGCCTCTGGGAGCTGTTAACAGGTGAAATTCCATTTGCTCACCTGAAACCAGGTAAGATGTTCAACAATTTAATATTTAAATTTCTCTGAACTAGAAAAGTGGCTATCCTGTATGATATTAAGCAATATTTGACCAAAGTTTGTTATCAAGTGTTGAGGTTATGCATTCAGTGAAAAGCGTAGAATTATCCCACCCCCATTGCATGTATTACTCACTACAGAGCTACATTCCATATCCAGCTCTAGCAATAGGAACCAGTCACTCTAATTGGAGACATTTGTCTCTCACACTGGTGTTGGGATTGAATAGCCATTCCATGGTTCATCTTCTCCTTGAGCATGTTCCCATGCAGCTCAAGAAAGCACTTGCAAAGAGTGGTGGGGCAGCAGCAGTAAATCAACATTTCCAGGACCACTCTTGGGACTCCTGAAGATTTGAAACCCCTTAATCTCTGCCAGGAATTGTAGGAGGCTGAGACTGCTGCAGGATTTGGTAAGAGCTAGTGTGGGTAATGAGAAACATAGTGCTTGTTGTGTTTCACATCATGCAGCCCAGAGGAGCCCAAGCCTGCAGCATGTCTTCTGGTGAGTAGGGAACCCTGCTGGAGGAGCTCAGCAAGCACCTGTAAAACAAATGAGGTGAAAAACCCATAAGGAATGATGGTTCTGAGCTGTAACTGAAGAGTGCAAAACTTAGTGTTTATTAAATACAGAGAATACTTCCTTGATGAGCTTTTTTCAGTCTGATAGTTTGTATAGACTTCAAATATGCAATTAGGCAACCAGCTGACAATTAACTGTGTCATAATGAGATTGTTATATTACTAAGGCACAGGCTACCCTGCAGAGGCTGTTCAGGGTTGTAGCCAGCGTAGGACAGGGCTGGGATCCACAGGCAGGCTGGGGCTGGGAGCATGGAGCACCAAGGGCCCGGCATGCCCAGAAGGCAGGAGAGTTCAGCCCCAAGCGCCGCACCGCTGGCAGGGCCAGCAGACAGACCAGCACAGGCAGGGGATGTGTTTCAGCTTTGTTGCCAGTTTCCCACAGCTGGGATGCAGGTTGAGCAGAAGATGTGCTGATGGGTTTGTTGCCCGCTTGCTGGAGCTGGAGCTGAGATGGCCGGGTCTGCAACCCGGCTGGAAATCCATGCATGGTTCCCAGGCTGATCCCATCCTGTCCTCCTGTGAGCTGCAGCTCAGTTCTCTAGTCATGCGTTGTGTATCTCTCATGTACACTTGCACAAGTTATCACAGAATTGTTTGGGTTGGAAGGGACCTTAAAGGTCATCGAGTTCTATCCCCCCTGCCATGGGCAGGGACACCTCCCACTAGAGCAGGTTGCTCCAAGCCCCATCCAGCCTGGCCTTGAACGCCTCCAGGGATGGAGCATCCACAGCTTCCCTGGGCAGCCTGGGCCAGGGTCTCACTCTCACAGTAAAGAACTTCTTCCTAATCTCAGTCTTCTCTCTTCCGGTTTGAAGCCATTATCCCTCATCCTATTCTCTGCAAGCCCTTGTAAAATGTCCCAGTGATCACAAGGGCATCCCGCGGTGGCCTAGGCACAGTCTGCATGTGGGAGCTGATGTTGGCTGTTCCCTGCTGTACAGTCTTCCATTTAAAAGATGTTTTAGAGGGCCCAGGAGGCAGGAGGACACCCTCTGATATCTGAAGATCCTCTTCCTCAACTGTTTTCCACAGGTGGCATTCAATTCACACCTGTAAAACTGTCATCATGTCAGCTTTGGGTAGAGTGTTGTGGGAAAACACAGGGATATGTATGTCTGGAAATTGTAGGTGTGGAACTAGATTCAGAAACTGATCCACTGCATTCCACATAGCAAAAATGCTGCAAAGATGACACTAGCACAAGGAAACTTCTCGTTACAACTATAAACATATGGGTGTCTAATGATTCTGATGCTGATTAACACTCTGCAGGTATTACAGTTGTTCCCCTGACCCACAAACAAGAACAAATGGAAATAAAGGTTTTGTAGGCAGATAGCAATTGATTCCTCTCACAGCTTATAGTGGCTCTGACCCCGAAGTAAGGCAGGATCTGACCAGCCATCAAACCAGAAAATGCTCAGAGGCTCCAGGGTATCCCGAGTGGAGCTGGAAAGCATCACTAAGGTCAGAGTTTTGAGACCACTTAAACTCTTTTTTTTTTTGTTTTGATTGTTTTTGAGAAGAATGGATTCTTGTAGTTTAATTTGGCCATTCTAAAGTATGTTTTAACAGATAAATATTTTTAGCTGAAGAAAAGACCCATTGGCAGTGAAAGGGGAGCCCAAATGACAGTGACACAAACAAACTTTGCAAAGTATTACAGAAGCACACGGAGGCACACGGCATGTTTCTCCCTTTCTTTTTATGATCCTGACCCCATTAAAGTGATGGAATAAATCCTATTAACTTTGGTAAGATGAGATTTTGCCAATAGGTAATATATGACTTACATTACCTTCAGCAGAAAAAAAAAAAAGGAGCATTTTTCATTGTTATGTTGATCTGATTTGCATCGGCCCTCTCTTTGTAGTGTCTGCTGGGCAAAAGACGAGTCCTGTAGTATCTGATTCATCCTGCAAAACCTTGTTAGAGTGGAACCAAAATTAGACCCACTGTGTTTTCCACTCTTTGTCTACATATATTTACAATATTCCAAGTTTTATCTGATATTAACCTCCTGAAACATCATCATACAGACAAAAGCTGAAATAAGGACAAACAATGGCTGAAATTAATCTATTCTTATGATAAATACTATGATGAGAATGGGATATGGTTAAAAAAAAATCAGGCCATTCTTGTTACAATCTCATGGGTGCAATCTGCTATTTCCCTGCATATCACATCGTTTTAAAGTGCCAGGCAAACAAAGGATTTCCCTTAGCTTTTGATATGAGATCAAAATACGTTTGTTCTGATTTGAAAAAATTCTGCTCAAAAGGAATGAGGGGAATTAACCATGTATCTGAATTCACTAGAAGAGCAAACCCAATTAGGAAATCATCTGGCAATTTTGTCTCAGCAGTGGCTTGTGCTTATAAAAAAGCACTCGCTGGATTTTTACTAAAGCAACAGAGAATTCATTTTTATCTGTAGCACAGCTAGCCATGGGTTATTTTAAGAGTTAAGGGTCTGTTACCAATTTATCTGAGTGTATCTGTTACTCTCTTCTTTTTTTACCCCAAAGGTGCCTTTTGTTTGTTTGTTTTGGGGGGCAGTTTAAGCTAGATTAGGTTATCTTCACCCATTTGGTGTTAATAACAGCATGTTTCTGCTCAGGGCTGTGGGCTGCCTTAGCTGTCCTCACAAGCAGGATGGATTTAGGACAAACACGGTAGCTTTAGACTAGAGAGGAGGAAGGAATGTTGGATGCTGAGGGTGGTGA